TTGTTTTCACTGACCATTTCCACCCCGCCCAGCGAGATCAGAGCCTCGTTGTGCGAGTTGCTGTGTGCCATATAGCAAGAGACTATCCCTGCCCCTTGGGCTTCAATCCAAACAGACAAGGCGGAGCAACCATGGGCAAAGCAGGGTTGTGGTCACCCCACATCACAGGTTTGGGATGAGGCCGAAGGAGCCCAAGGACTTGCCAAACATCACACAGGGAGTTTAAGACAGCCAACAATTGCTTCAGGGCACCGGCCAACCTCTCCTCATTGGAGGTGACGAGAAAAGGTCCGCTGGAGGCAGTTACCCTCAGCTGTCCCATGCATGGCGTCTTGAACCTGATCTGGTCATTGTCAGACAGAGGAGATTAGACTAAACTGGACCCCATCCTGAGCCTGGGGACCCAAATCTGACCCCAGGTCCAAGCCTTAAACACAAAGCCAGGCCCCCAATCTACCACATGGCAAACTCATACCCAGATGGCTGCATCTCTCCCTGATTCACCCGCTCACACCCTGCTGGTTGCCTCTCCCCCCTGCTACACACCCTCTCACACCCTGCCGACTACCTCTATCAGCCTGACCACATGCCCTCCCACACCCAGCCATCTGCCCTTCTCTCCCTCTCAGAATCTTTTACATGTTCCCAGGCCAGAAGGAACCTTTCTGACTATCTCGTCTGACCCCCTGCCTGTGAGTACTCGGAGAGGCCTGGGAAAGAGTAGGATGGATTCTTACTACAGCAAAGAGCTTTGGGAAGACGACTATGACTGGGCCTTGGCGGAGGCTGTGACATTGCACTCCATAGAATTTTATGAAAATATGCTAATGAGTGTGAATATAATATAACTGGAATATGCTTCATGCAAAAGGTCTCTTGTAAGGGATCATTACAAAGCTTATAATCTACTGAGTGTGTTCATCCTATTCGTATGTATGTATCATTCTTCTATCTGAAACTAGAAATATGAAATATAACTCTGAGGTCCTACTGTAGTTATGCAAAGTGTGGGCCATTAATGGTGGTTTGGAATCTTTATGGCTCCCATCAACTAGGACAATTGAGAGTAGATGGCTCTGTTTACTTGCGAGACTTCCTGTGAGTCAGACAAGGAAGAATGAAGGCTTGGGGGGGGTCTCACAGGTCATGTGACCATGTCACCTGGTACTGGAATCCATCTTAAACCTGGTGCTTTTCCATTTAGGAGGAGGGGTGGGGACCCAAAGAGACAAAAGATTCCTGCCTCGTGCTTAAGCTATATAAGGGGTGGAACATAACAAGGGAGGCTGCAGTCATGAGAAATCCCCTAGCTACCACCTGAGCTGGAACAAGGACTGTAGCGGGGAAAGGATTGGGCCAAGACTAGAAAGGAGTCTAGTCTGTGAAAGAAGTTTATTGGATCATCTCTGAGGGTGAGATTTACCTGCAGAGGCCTAAATGACTGCCCATTGGGATGGGATGGGGGGAGTCTCCATGAACTGTGCACAGAGAAGAATGGGGCTTGCAACAAGTGGGGTTTCCTGGAGGATGCTGAGTGGCTCAACAGTGTTGTACACTTTTGCATTGCATTACAGGGTCCACTACTAGTGACAGGCCATGCCCATCTCCTCTCCTCTTCACCATCCTCTCTTAAGGATGTTTGCTGTGCGTTCACCTCTCAGCCCCACCTCCCTGCTAGGAGACAGGCGCCTGCTGGTGACTGTCCCAGCTCCTCTGTTTGCATTCAGCACTGTTAGTGTGTCTGTCACTCCATTGCTGCTCCTAGGGGGCTGGAAGGGGCCATCCATGTGACTGCATTTCTGGTGCCCATTCTGCTCACAGGGACCAAGCGAGTGTCTGCCTCCCTCAGCACCAATCCCTTCACAGGGGGCCAGGCATGTGTCTGTGTCTCTCAGTCCAGTTCCACTGAGAGACGCAAGGTGTGTGTCTGCGTCTCTTGGCCCCGTTCCACTGAGAGGCGCAAGGTGTGTGTCTGCACGTCTTTGCCGCATAACTCTTACAGGAGCTGGGTGTGAGTCTGCATCTCTCTGTCCCATTCCTCTCAAGGGGCTGGGCATGTGTCTATGTCTCTCTGCCCCAATCCCCTGACAGCGGCCAGGGGTATGTCTGTGTCTCTCGGCCCCATTCCACTCACAGGAGCCGGGTGGGTGTCTTCATCTCTCGGCTCTGTTCCCCTCATAGGGGCCAGGTGTTTGGTCACTTCTCTGGGCCCGTTCCCCTCATAGATGCTGGGTGTGTGTATGTCTCTTTGCTCCATTCCCCTTACAGGAGCGGGGCCTGTGTCTGCATCTCTCTGCCCCGTTCCCTTTACAGGGGCCAGGTGTCTTTATGTCTCTCAGCCCTATTCGCCTCACAGGGGCCATGTCTTTGTCCTTTGGCCCCATTCCCCTCAGATGGGCTGGGCGTGTGTCTGTGTCTCTCTGCTCAATTCCCCTTACAGGGGATGGCTGTGTGTCTGCGTCTCTAGGACCCATTTGCCTCATGGGAGCTGGGCATGTGTCTGCATCTCTTTGCCCTGTGCCCCTCACAGGGGCCAGGTGTGTGTCTTTGTCCTTTGGCCCCATTCCCTCTCACACAGGCCGGATGTGTGTCTGCACCTCTCTGCCCCAATACCCTCACAGGGCTGGGTTTCTGTCTGTGTCTCTCAGCCCCATTCCCCTCACAGGCACTGGGCATGTGTCTGCGTCTCTTTGTTCCATTCCCTTCACAGGAGCCAGGTGTGTGTTTGTGTCTTTTGGCCCTGTTCCCTTCACAGGGGCCAGGCCTGTGTCTGAGTCTCTCGGCCCCATGGGCCGGGTGTGTGTCTGTGTATCTGGGGCCCATTCCTCCAACAAGTAGGGCTGCGCGTAACTTGTAATCCATTCCCCGCCATAGTGTTGCCATCTGTTTCAGGGGATTGTGTGTGAATTAAACTGTGATCTATTCGGGGGAGAGATTGTTTT